TCAAATGATTCATTTACTTTTCATCGTTTATATCTCTCTCTTTTTGGCGTGCTATATTTATACGCATGAAAAGGTAAATAAAAAGTTTCAAGAGAAACAATCTCTTCCTTAAAAATTTCAAATTATTTGTCAAGATCAAATTTGCTTAATATCAATGCAGTCAATTGTTTCAAGACCGACTTGAAATATTAAGAAACTGACTCCCATTTAAAACCAAATCCATTTGATTGATAGCTACAATATATAATAGTGGGAGATGTCGTATATACATCATCAACCAAAAAAACCATGGATCTGTTCTCCATTTACAAGCTGCGAGCAACCAGCTCCCAGCTCCAGGCCAAATCTAGCGATAGCCATATCTTCTCACATTAATCACTTCGCAAAGTAATTGATTATACCATGTTAAAGCCTAAGAATTCCACTGAATCTAAAAAAGCTTAAATTACTGATGTTCCCATATTTTGGAGATCTCCAATTTATTTAAGCATGATACGGGGAAAAGGGAGTTTAGTTGGATGCGAGAATATACGAAAAGTTGGACTTTTCTGCCAATCTAGATCGTCTGAGTTCAAATCCTCACAAGCCATAGTCACAAATATAGGAGCTGTAGGCAGCAATCCAATCTAATCTCACTACCAAAAGAATGCATAATGTGCATCTGGTCAGAGAGTCGGAGCTTTGATTCGGACAGCAGATACTCCTCCTCTATTCATGCAATCCGCCAATAACATGCGGATACGGCTAAAGAGATGGAATCAAAAATGCGAAACCGGCGCTTACTTGGGCAGATTTGATGGGCAGATCATTGCCGGAGAGCCTCTTGAAATGCTCCTTCAACAGCCTCTTGGAGTCGTACTCTCTGATCTTCTTGCGGGCCATCTCCTTTTCCCTCCGCCTCCTGATCACACACCAAAACAACCAATCAAAACCTCGACTTCCCGACCAAGATCGGCGTTTCGACAGCCGAAACGCGACACCCAGAAACCGAATTCCGCAAATCCCACCCGTCCTCCGCAAACCCAGATCCCAAATGGAAAAATCCAAAAGCGGACCAAGAAAAGCGGGGGAGTTTCTTTTTTTTACCTGTTGGGTAGAGAAACAGAGAGAAAGAAGAAGAGAGGCTAGACGGGCAGCTCGAGAGGGGTTAGATGGGCAGATTCAGCGATCGAAGCTGAAATCTCGTGCAAGCTTTGCCTCTCTATTTATAATGGTAGGTGGGTTTTCGCTCACTCTCTTTCTCCCCCTGTGGTTCTTGTTGGTTAAAAATGAGAATATGGGGTTGGTTGGCTGGCTGGCTGGCTGCCTCGCGTTCAGACTTCGGACAGTGCGAGTGCGACGAACGGTATTTCATGAAACGGGGCATCTTTGGACGTATTTAATAATTGCAGAAAAGAGACATTTTCTTGATTTTCTAAGCTCTCGTTTCACATGATGCTGGACACGCGCGGCACCTACCTTCTTGGACCAACGCTTCAATTTCAACTTCAACTATACCCCTTTCCGTACTCTTCCTTACTGGTTCAGTGATCTGGTGCGACCAATCCACCAAAACATGGCATGCGGTGTCACTCTGTTCTTGCTCGTTTCTAACAGTTTTGCAGCATTCTCATCCTCCTTGTTGCAGCACACCCAACTTTTTAATAAGCAAGATCCACAGACCCGAACCCATAAAAAAATCAGTTAAAACACGTCGACCAGGCATAAATCTTCGTTGCGTTGGTCACTTATCCTTTCAGCCGAGGAGAAACATATGAGTATTGTAACTGCTAATGCCATGATTATATCGAATCTGTAATTTCGTCACTAAAGTTTACTAGTTTGTTATGATGTCAAAGCGATCATGGTGGTGGTTGCTAAGTTGAGAATGCTTGGCTTGGGGGTCTGAAAATGAGAATTCAAGAGGCATACTTCCGTGGGGAAGTGGTGGACTTTAATGAGTAATTTAATGGAGAGTAGGGTTGGGCCGTCCATTTGCTTTTTGGAGTTTAATTAGCGGCCGCCTTTTCTTGTCCACTGCCTCCACTCTGTACTCCCTCTCTTCCCATCAATTCTACGGGAGAGATCACACCTCTGTTTTAATTCATAGACACCGTGATCTTGGTAAAACAAGAGAGGTCGATTCCTATGTGTTCTTCCCTCGGGCAGTCGTCGATCGTGGTCCAAATTTCGAATGGCCTATTGTTCATTAATTGGGCGCGAATGGGATAGAGGGGACAGATCTCATCGATCTTTAATTGCATATGAACATTAGTATATTTGTTGAATCTGGCTCAAAATTTAGGTGCTGTTTGATTTGGAATCTATTCGTGTTGGAATTTGAGAGCATCTATAGGTAGGGATAAGATTTGGAGTGCACGAGGATGAGATCCGGATGGTCCTAATTATATGGTTGATGTCAGGGTTGGTAGCTACACTAAAGATCTAGATTGCAAAGTTCGAACTTCTAGAAGATATTCAGACGTCCGATCCAAAGCTAGTGGAATGTTCGACTCGAGACCAGCTAGTAGCAAATATGGATTTCGGATGCTGAGAGAAGCTGGACTATTCCGAACATCTAGCCAACTTCCGGCGAACATCAGAACGCTCACGGGAATGTTCTTTGAAGACGTTGTCAACCTAATTTCGTATAGAACAGAAAGCCTAATTCATGAGAGAATTCAGAGAGCTCTCGAGAAGTGTCAATTTGTGAGATCAAGCACTTTGAATCTCTTTGATTTGGGTTCGTGAGACTTTTTCTAGTGCCATTGGAGTCTGAAAAATACTTGAGAGTCGTGTAATTCGATCTATTGTAATCTCTTCTCGTGGATTTAATAGAATATCTCGTTGATCTATCCCCGTGAAGTAGGCATGCCCTGTCGAACAACGTAATCCCTTTCCTGTTTTTGCATTTATTTTCCGCTTGAATTATTTGGTTTTGTCCGTGCTTCCGCCTATTCGCTCCACAAGATCTAATACGAAATGTAATGTGACGGTCCACCTGTGTAGGTTGGGCATGTGGCTAACAAGGTGGTCTGTCCACCCCACCTGATTGGGATATCGTACATGAGGAACATTTATTTATCATCCTATGAAAATCTAACATCGTTGCCTTCCTTGAGAAAATGACTGGTGAGGTGAAGCGACCTTTGATAATTTTGGCTGAATAAAAGCGACCTTGAACCGTGATCTTGATTTGCATAGTCGTTTTCCATGCTTTTTTCGTCGCATTGTTAACCTCGGTATAACAATGACGCGTGTCCTATGGATAATTTACCTTTAAAAGTAAACATCGATTACACACGTTATTGCCTTAGATATCTTATGTAATTGAAACTTATCAAGATTTCCAAACCTTTTCGAAATTGGCGTTTACGATTTTATATGTGTTCACTTCATTTGATGTTGTCAATATAAGATTCCGCCCCGATAAAACTTTTCTAGTCCACTTCTTCCCTTTTTTAAATTTTGCTAATTAAAGAAGTCCATGGATTGAATATAGTATGATCAATTTGAGAAAGTATGTGAAACGTGCTGAAAAAACTCATGCTAAGCAAAAAGAGCGATCATACTATGCATGCGTTTTTTCCAAAGGCGGGCAACATTAGTGGCTAGCGACATTTAACTTAAAATAAATTGCTCAGAAGAAAAGATCTTCCTTTTCTGTAATTGTTTTTTGAGCTTGATTTATCCTCTCTTTTTAAAAAAAAAATAGTTAATTTTCTACTCATGAAATTCACAATTGCGAAGACAATTTTATCATTTTGACTTCCAAATTCAAGTCTGGCCAAACGGCATTAAATTTTTTTTAGAGAAAATGGGAGTGTCCCTGCCGAACTCCCACGAGTCAAACCTGGTGACCTTTACTTTTTAGCACCAACCACAGTAAGAGTCGCACATTGCCACCCTCGGTCAACACTGTACAGCTCCCTACTCTAATTCCAATTTCAATTGCCCAAAAATGACATTTTTGGGTCCATACATGGCCAGTGACTTCAAATTTATTGAAATAGAAAGCACTTATCAGCCACCCGGTATGAATTCGGTAAGATTCTCGGTATGACGAGCTCACCATTATTCACGCGATCCCCTTATATTTAAGCAATCCACATAAAGTTCATGAATTTGAGAAATACAAATTGTGACGTGGGATGATTTGTCACGATCAATATTTTTAGGACCAATTGGATATACAAAGACAAAAAAGAAAAATACAAAGAGATATCGTGAGATCAAGAACGAGACGCACATAGCCATGATTGCTTTGATGCCAAGGTGTGCAAGTTTGAATAATCACTTTGGTGGGATTGCACGAAGAAGACGAGCGGCAGACAAATCTGATCATTGACCTCCGAATTCCACGCCAGTGCATCGACAAACACCCAAGTCAACATCGGACACCTTCAGTTGCTTTTGCGTAGACGCAAGCATCATTCTCTCAACCACTGACTTCTTTTCTTTTCATATAATAAATGATGATCCGTCGTGCTCGTGACCAATGCGTCCGCAAAGTACGATTTAACCCCAGATCCAAACAAACAACTAATATTTCGGTTTGTCAGATGTTCACCATGAATTTGACTAGCTGACAGTTCAACAGATGCCCATCCACGCTCGTTAACCAGACCAAGAAAGAGAGAGACAAGGGTCTGGGGAGGTTAGCTTCGGCAGTTCATGGCAGTACTTAGATTTAACAGCAGTGCGAAGTAAAAGGGGGAAGGTATGGAAACTTCAGAGAGTGATGCGGATACTTTTGCTTCGGACAATGGGCTCGTGAAGTAAGAAATTCTACTGGGCAACACTGTAAGGATTATGTTAATACGTATCGAGCACGAGGACGCATGAGGACAAGGACGAGCATGAGCGCAGAGAGAGAGAGAGAGAGAGAGAGAGAGAGAGAGAGAGTGAGTGTCGTCTTTGCGTTCGGCATTGGAACTTCACCAGAATAATAAATGACATTGCCGTGTGGGCATTTTCTTTTTACCTATGCACCACGTCGATACATAAAGTTCACGCGAACATTTGTACCATTTATTGCAAATACATACCCCACAAGGATTCATTACAAATGAATGAATTCCAGCGAGAGTATCCAATGCTAAGACTTTCAACAATTTGTACACTTCACGAATGAAGATTGCAATACATGACTCCAGCACTCTTCTTTTGCAAACAACCAATGAATGATCTCTCTCCTCTTTCACGAATCATGGGAACCGCAGCAGCCGCCACTTGAAGAAGGGGAGAAGCAAGATTTACAGATATGCGCCAGAAATGGTGGCGACAGCCTGTGTAATAAGCAGACATATAATGCTAAGAATACCTCATCTAATTATTCCTCATTTCAGACTTTGGTATGATTCTGGGAACCATCTGGGCAACAAGATGTGTTTGAGCCTGATTATCAAAGCGAAGATGCTGTAGCATGGAATATGCATTACTGCCACTCCAAGGTACCTGTGAAAATTTGAAGAGGGGAGAAATTTAGAGCATCATACATTTACTGATAAATTTTCTTTTTGTTTTTTAGTTGATTTTCTGTTCCAATTGGTGAAACTTGCACGATCATCAGTAGCAACAGAGTGAAACCAATAACCCCACCATCTCATTTGTAATTAAAAGAGTAAGTACGAATTGGTCCCAGTCACACTACTTCCTGTGGCTCGAAAAATGCCAACAACGTTACGAAATTGTCTTTTCTTGTATATAGTAAAGTATCATAACACATACCAAAGAGGAGCATACGATGATGACAAGTCCAGAAATGGATATGGCCACCTGTAACAAGTAAATTAATCATCTTCTCCATGAAACAAAGCCAAGATAATCGATCGCATGCATGAATGAGAGATATTTACCAAATTGAAACACAAGCATGGATGATCCATTGGAAAATGACATATAGACCCGTCCATAGAACAAAATATGCAAAACGAAACACAGGGAACCGCTGCAAGTAGAACACCCAGGTGAAAACCGGGACACATGAATAAACATTGCTAAAATGGAGAGTTACATGAAAAGAAAGCACAAGACTTACCAAACAATTCAAAATGGTGTCACCGAGGAGGAAGAAAGCATTGACTGAGTGCAAACAGACATCCAGCTGCCGTTCAAAGGATAAGCATGTCATTCTATCTAAATGTTTGAAAAAGAGAAGCAAGACAGCGACATAGCTAGAGAGAGAATGCCTCAAGGCATCAGGTACATAACCCCAGAACAAAGTTCTTAAGATGGAAAGAAATCATCCTCGTGGACCGTTTTGACTAGGGACTTGGGCCCCTCTCGATTAATTAACTCATGTTACCCCATTGACACATCACCATTCACCAAGTATTGAGATAATTCATATCATTGATGAATTATCTTAACATTGAGAAACATAATTGACCACATAAGGCAGAGTCTTGGTTAGTTATTACACTTGTAAGTCTCGCTAATTACCACTGTCTAACCTAATGCACTTGAATCTTACAAATTCTGGATATAGTTTTGCATATGTAATGTAGTTGACATACTTACAAGATTCAATCTGTAATCTTTTGATGTCAGAAAAGGATAGAGAACAAGCCAAAATACACCATCAGTAAGCATCGCCGCACCTGCACTCGTCTGTTCATGGATTCAAAGAAAGGAATCAAAGACTTGCTTCCCATTACTGCAGAACTAATCTTCCTTCATGCATTATTGTCACCTCTATAAACACTGTGAATTGGTGTATCACTATTTATGAGAAGCCAGAAATTCATCAAGAGAAATGAAAGAAAAAGCTTGAGCTCAAGGATCAACATAGTCATTTCAGACTCTTAATGAAATCTCTACATAAACCAAGGAATCTTGTGTCCAAGTCATCAACGAAAGTAAAGGAAATTGCCCTGACCCCAAAAAAAAAAGATAATGGAAATTGCCCATAATATATAGACCAGGGAGAAGGCAAGGCAATGAGACAAAATCATGTTCATACAATTGAGGAAATATTCATCATATCCACCACCGTTAGTGCTCCTTACATGACATGCATGAATTTAGCATTTACTAATGTAAATTACCCAAATTCAGATGCTAAAAAGGAAAACAATGGCTGAGCAATACATCTACTCCACCAACTGTGTACATGCTAAAAATTCATTGCTAGATAAATTGTTCTTGCGCAAGTGAAACTCGCCTGATATATGATCTGGAAGATAACTACCCATGGACCAGCACCATTGCGAATGGAAGATTTCTGATTTGAATTTGAAGTTTTGGGTGCGCTAGATATGTTGATATGCTCTCCAAGAGAAACAGCCATATAGATTCCTCGGTCTGCATCTAAATTGCTGTTATCAACTCTATCACCAGCAGCTTTATGGTTTATACAGCATCCGTATATTGACATGGATAATCCAAGCTACAAATAGTAGTCCAAAGCACAAGCAACTAAAATTATGGCAAGAAGGACGAAATGATAAGTTCGAAATCAAACACACCAGGTTTTAAGAAACTGAACAAGAAAAGGCATATTGGACATGCATTAACACTTGCAAATGAAACACGCCATCATGGATCTTGAGAAACCAAATTTAAAGAATATGCATCAATGCCTTGTAATTCTTAAAGAAAGATCAGTATCTTCAAGAAAAAGTTAGTAAGCTTTCAGTTGAGATGCATCGAGAGAAGATCATTAGAAAAGGTGATCTAGATACCTAGGACGACAATGTTTAGATGCTCCACTGAGAACATCCAACTCTACAACAGGACTGGCATGAGTGTAAAAGAAAGTGGTGAAGATTAAATAAGATGTGAACAGAAACCGTAAGGAAAGATCTTCATTACTGGGATCTTTCTAAGAACATGATGCAAAACAGAGATGAATAAAATGATTCATGTAAACGAGCTCAATAGGAGCTACTTGGTCGAGGATGCTGTTATACGAATGTATACTGGAAAAAAGGCATCGGGTGGAACTAGTGTAGAACACTTTCCAATCAGTTCTCAAGAAACAAAAGTGCTTCAATGTCACTCAGAATTCCAACCAAACTAATACGAATAATATACAAAGGAAAAAGGTAATATACCCCAAAATAGGCTGTGACCAAGGCAAAAGTCCACCTGCTCAGCACACGAAAGATCAAAAGGAAAAGTCATCAATACAGTAACTAGGCTTGATCATCGACGTCAAGTAAAGAGTTAATAATGAGATAGTATCTGCAACAAACAATCAAATGACTAGCTTTACTTTGCTCAAGAGTGACAAAAAAAACAAATGCCAGTTGATTCAACCCTAAAGAGGCTAAATTTAAACCTGAATAATTCAAGCTCCATGATGGTTATTAGGGGCGTGCAACAGAAGTCCGACACCTCTCGCCTAGGGTAATTACCAAGAGGGAGCCCAAAGTCTAAGTTTGTTAAGCTATTCAGTTGGACCCACACTCAAAAGCTTAAGCCAATGAGTTATGAGCCAACTAGGATATATTGATTACTCTACACCACACCAATTCTCCGATGTTCTCCGATGTGGGATTTTCCAATGTGAGATTTCTCTAACACAACTCACACGTGCATCCTAACAATCTCTTCCTCACGTATGAGCTCCTCCTTAATACAAGTATTCTCTATGTCAAGATATGAAGTCTGCCACCTGGGCCTGCATCGTTACACCACAATGCCCATTGCCCGGAAATTACGCCCAACTTCATCCACCAAACAACTCTGATACCAATTTGTTGGGAGCACATAACAGAAGCCCAATACCTTTCGCCTAGGTAAATCACCAAGAGGGAGCCCAAAGTCTGAGTTTGTTAAGCTATCTAGTTGGACCCACCTTTACTCAAAAGCTTAAGCCAATGAGTTATGGGCCAACTAGGATATATTAACTGCTCTACACCACACCAATTCTCCGATGTGGGATTTCTCTAACACAACTCACACGTGCATGCTAACAATGGTCATTCCAGTTTGATACTGAAAGCTTTCCAAAATTTTTGTATCCTCAACAAGACCAAAGTGTCAACATCTATGTCTTGAGGTTGGGGTGATGACTTGTTCATGAAGAACATAAAATCAATCACATTAAAATACATTCATAAAAGCCATTATAAATATGTGGAATACTTTTTCTGAAACTCTAATCCATAGATGAATTCCAAAATTCAGGTCCAGGTCCCTTTTTGGTAGCGAGATGCATAAACAGGAAAAACAAGAGGATGAGGAAGGCAACTTACTGGGTATAAAAGTAAAAGATACCCGCCCCGTCAAGGACAATATTTGCAAGGAGCAATGATGCTAGCACAGCAAAAGAAACCAATCTGTAACCGAGCAGCCACTTTGGATGAATTGTCTTAAGACAGGTCCTCCAAACCTCGTCCTTGTACAGATACCCCACCTTTCCCCGCCGGTTCTCTTCTCTATCAGGTTTTGGTTTGTTGAATCCTTCGTACTTCCATATGAGGTATGATGCCAAAAACATTGGAACAAGGATAATCAGGGCACAAAGTAAGAAAGTGATGTTCAGCCAATAACTCAGGCTTGTCGTATCAGCAGCCATATCGAACTGCCAATTACGATTTACTGATCCTGCCACACAAAAGCACGAATAGATGTCACACCAGCTATATAATGTGGTGCAGCTTTTAGAACTCATCCTCAAAGTAAAGACGTGCAGCTTCACCTTCTAGTTGAACAGATCGTAGAGAGGGAAATTCAACAGTAAAATTCGTGAAGTCGGAAAGAAATGGCAAAAGCCATTCGGGCAAGATCAAACTACTTGGAGCATGCATTTCCCTGATTGAGTGAAGCACGGGAGAAATGGTGAGAAATGACTAGAATCGCCTCTGACTCGGTAGAAATGTCTATCGAGACCAATTTCATACCCTATCAGAAAATCAAGTTCAACTGAATCAGAAACTATCCAGCATGTTCCTTATTAATTGCGGTTGCAACGCTAATAAACCAAAAGGATCATATCCACTGAGTAAATCAACCAAGAAACACAATAACAAATGTCCCAAAATCTAAAACAACCTCTGAACATGAAGGTTTATACACGCAAAGAAAGACCCATTAGCTTTTGAAGGTCGAAAACGCCTTTACATGAAGGGAGAGAACACGAAGGGCTGCTCAAACCATATCCATCGCCCGCAGCACAGCTTAATTATTACTGGGTGTGGATCGAAACGAGGAAAGAGTGAATACAAAGCCCAACTGCTGAGGGAAAAAAGGGAGGCTGACGGCTCTTACAGTCTCTGGAGAGACGAAACGGATCCACGAGTGCCTCAATGCAAATGGGTACTCGTGGTTTCTTCCCCTCCTTTTTGCGCTTTCCTCGAGCCGCACGGAAGGAAACGAACGGTCAAAAGAGAAGCGAGGAAGCACACCGGCCTGTCCTGGGCTCCAGGAAGCTTCAGCGAAGAAGGAGGCTGAATTGAACTCCTCCCGTTTTGACCACTGATCGCAATTCTCCCGTTTCAGAAGGAAACAAAGGAAAAAAAAACTAACATAACATTGAATAATGATAGTTGAAACAAAACCAAAAAATTCGCTTCGTGTCGCGTAATGGTTAGTGGGTCGCCGGGCAATTGCGACCCGAGCATCCGCGGCGGTGGTGGGAGAGAAGAGGAGGCGTCGCCGTCGTGGAAAGCCACCGGGGGAGACGGGCCCCGGCCCAATGAAGGAGGAGGGTCCGACAAGCAACCGGTGAGCCAATCGGAATCTTCAGCGCACCCCATCTCCTTCCGACCAGCGTGTATCGAAACAAGAAAAAAGTCTCAACGTGTAGATTCACACCGACCAAAGGAGATTTGTTTAGCTTCCGCTTGTTTCACGAAAAATGGCTAATTCAAAAAATATTTTCTTAAAAATGAGCTTAAAATAATTAGTCAATTAAAAATATATTCATTATCGACAGTAAATTTGTAAGTGGTGCAAGTAATCGTTTTTAGGAAAGATATTTTTCAAATTATTCATTTTCTACGAAAATAAACAGAGCTATATTCAAAATTGCTTGCATGCTTTCTGTCTGGTTTGAAGAGCCTTCGTATGCTTCGAGAAATGCATACTAACAGTTATTTTTTGGTCAAAATACTTCAATGGAATACGGATGGAGTATCGAAACGCTTATTTTGATTAATAAAGTATACACATCACATTCAAATCTGGTCAATTTTGCACTAGATACTTGTGCAAAGTGAAGCGGATGCGACACTAACAAAACGAAACATTAGGAAAGATGGAAATGTAGAGAAAGGGCAAGAGAGGGCCGATGCCACAACTTCCATAAGAAGTATGAGCACTAGTGTTTGATAGTAGGAGGATCATTTTTCGACACATAATATGTCAAGTCTCTCTCGCTAAACTTTAACGTAGAAACCAATCTAAGAACTACCGACAAATGAACTCTTCAGAACAACGAGAATAGTTTTGAACTAAATAATGGTACAATGCGGAGACGATTTTGAATTGTGTCGGAAAGTATAAAGAGCATTGATGTCTTCTACTTGAATTTTAAATATCTCTACATGTCCACATGTGTGCGTCATAAAAAAGTTTGAGTGCATGATAAAAAAAAGGGATATGTTCGTTAGAAGTCCTAAAACTTATCAACAAAGTGCAATTGAGTCATAAAACTTGCAAATGGTGCAATCAAGTTTTAAAACTTATCAAATTAATTCAATCGAGTCTTAAAGTTAATACTGTCCAATTTGACTAACGAAAAATACTAACGTGGTATTTTTATTATTTTTTTATATCCTACGTGATAATGATGTGGCTTTTTTAAAATCATTATTTTAATATTAATTTTATTTAAATTAAATTTTAAAATAAAGCAAAAAATTTTTAAAAAAGGGAGGAGGAGGACAGTTGGAGAGGGAGGGCTTGCCCTTCCCGCCACCACTACCGCCCCACCATCGCCGGGAGGGGTCGGCGAGGGCCTATCAGGCCTCCCCTAGATTGGGCAAGGGTCGCCGGCCCTTGCCCAAACTTGGCCGAGGGTCGCTAGTGGCGGCCGACCCCCGCTAGATCTGGGGGAGGGCCGCCACTGGCAACCCTTGGCTAGGTCTGGGCAAGGGCCGGCGACCCTCGCCCGATCTAGGGGAGGGCCGTGACCCCTTGCCCGGATCTAGGCGAGGGCTTGCAGGCCCTCGCCTGCTGTCGACGAGGGTCGCTGGCCCCTGGCAGGGGCCTGGCGACCCTGCCTGCCGTCCCCTCACCCTCGCCGGCCCCTCTCGATGATGGTGGGGTGGCAAGGAGGGCAAGCCCTCCCTCCTCGCCTGTCCTTCTCCTCCTCCTTTTTTTTTTATAAATAAATTTTAGCTTTTTAAAAATTTAAATAAAAAGTAGTATTAAAAATCAAATTTTGGCCAAAACAACGTCGTTTTAACCATATCATTACCACATAAAAGAGAAAAAATATTAAAATAAGCCACGTCAGCATTTTCTGTTAGTAAGTTTGATGGTGTTAACTTTAGGACTCATTTGAACCAATTTGACAAATTTTAGGACTTGATTGCACTTTTTGTAAATTTTATGACTCAATTGCACTTTTGTGACAAGTTTTAGGACTTTTAGTGAACATATCCCATAAAAAAAACAGTTAAATTTTAAAGCACTATAAAAAAGATAAAAGGTCACGCCAATCAAACACATTTGGGATGCATGTGTTCTAACTTACCATTTATTAAACAAATTTTGCATGACTTTCAAGGGTGTAAAAATTAACATATGACATATAAGTTTGAGTCAAATTACATGGCAGACGATCGAAATAAACAATTGAAATCCAAAATTTCCTAAAACAAATAAAAAAGAAATAATTAGAATCTTCTTAGGCCCAACTAATAAAATATTGATAAATTTAAGATAATCAATTCGGAAAAGTGTTTTCGCCTTCTTAAATTAGTGAATTTCACTTTCCTAAATTTATACATGAATAGTTTCCTCGGCCGGAAAGTGTTTTTCGGTACACTCGCAGTTTTCAAGAAGAGGCCCAGGCCCAAGCCCAAACAATCACCGGCCCATACCCATATCTCTGACCTAAGAAACCCTCGTATAAAAACCCCCTTCGCACTGCGCAAGCTTCTCTTCTTCTTCTTCTTCCTCATCCGAACCGCCGCCGTCTCCTGCGCCTGCGAAGCAACGAGATGCAGATCTTCGTGAAAACCCTAACGGGGAAGACCATCACCCTCGAGGTCGAGTCCAGCGACACCATCGACAATGTGAAGGCCAAGATCCAGGACAAGGAGGGCATCCCGCCGGACCAGCAGCGCCTCATCTTCGCCGGCAAGCAGCTCGAGGACGGCCGCACCCTCGCCGACTACAACATCCAGAAGGAGTCCACCCTCCACCTCGTCCTCCGCCTCCGCGGCGGTGCCAAGAAGCGCAAGAAGAAGACCTACACCAAGCCCAAGAAGATCAAGCACAAGAAGAAGAAGGTCAAGCTCGCCGTCCTCCAGTTCTACAAGGTCGACGACTCCGGCAAGGTCCAGCGCCTCCGCAAGGAGTGCCCCAACGCCGAGTGCGGCGCCGGTACCTTCATGGCCAACCACTTCGACCGCCACTACTGCGGCAAGTGCGGCCTCACCTACGTCTACCAAAAGGCCGGCGGTGATTGAGGACTTATGTTCGCCCTTTCCTTCTAGCGTCTATCCATGTTTACAGCTTTCGAGGATTTTACATATTCCCTTCTTGGATTTTGATTGGTGGCTAAAGTCAAGACATTTGCTCTTTTGATGAATACCATTTGCTCGTTCGCTCAATGGTACTTTAATCTCTATGATCGGTTCTTGCTGTGTTTTCTCGAGTAGCATTGCCTCTGGTCATGGTCATTACTGCTGCGGATGAGGTTGTTGGATTTATCTTTTGGCAGTCTAAGTTAGTCGATTTGTTGTTGCAAATGAGCGGTGAACGGATTCGAGATGCGGCTGAAGTTAAATTTAATGCTTGAGGTTGCCCTTGACATTCATTGTGAAGCAACCTGCGGTTGACCGGTGTGTGCAGGGCGGTGCGAAATTTTCGTAGGTTGTGATGTGTTGGCTAGATTGGCAGCAATGTGCGCGAAAATGCTTGTGAATGTGAACGTGTTACTGACATGAACTGCCTGAAGGGGAGGCATGCTTGGGACTTGTCCGAGATCGATCCCGAGAATACTGCACTTCAAGTTGCGACAAGTTGCGAATGAAGAGAAGACCAAGCTGCCAGTTGATGCTGTGGACTTCAGTTTGAGGCCATTATTGCATTTGCTGGTCGAATTTGATTACTTGATTGCTTAAGATGCTTAGTATGACTTTGCGATTTAGCTCCTTCGGATTGCTATTGTCATTGCATAGTTCTGTCATCGTTTTGTGGCGAGTTCTATTAGATATATAGGCATTTCTTTCCTTTCTGCTCTGCTTTTCTTTGATATATTGTGGTTTCTTGGTTTGTTCAAAGCCAAAGGACGATGGGACAATGATGAAAATCCTCTGGAGGTAGGAGGACTTCTTTCTATGACCCCCCTTTCGGGTGTTATGCATTGAAGTCTAGTTGACATAAAGCTGGAGCAAAAGATTTGGTACTTCATGAGCTTTACCCATCAGGCCTTATGCTATCATAAGACAGTAGCTAACAATGATGATACATATTTTCCTTCTCTTTTATCATCGAGCACCCCCCTATTACTTTCTATCTTTGCATCTTCCCGAATTGCAAAAGATAATTGGTTTTGCAAATCTGGGTATTGACACATTGAAGGTGCTTCATTTGCACATACCATAACTGGTGGATGGGGAGGAGGATATATGACATTTGACTGAAGATGTGGATTTCTTCTCTTACTCTATTTTGCTTCCCTTAGTCACTTGGTTTAACAGTCATTGTTCTCCGTATCCCTTCCTCCTTTCGGGAACTCGTCACGAATGGATGTAGGGAAGCAAATTTCGTCCCTGAAGTGCTTCTCTGGTGTTGCTATTTCATAACATTGGTACCGTTTGAGTAGAACAGAGATCTTACCGAGCTGCTTCACCCATTCAAGTTTCTATAAAGCTTCTTGAAGTTTCGTCGATTTCATTACTTATTCTCCTCTTAGACTCCGTTTTTCTAGTGCGTAGGAACTTTGTATATGCCCTGAAAAGTCGTAATTTCGTCAAGTTCAGTTTTGGACAAGAGTCTGCCAACAAGACTGGAAAACAAAAGAATCAAACTTGCGTCCATTACGCAATGTCAGCCAAGCATTTTCCTTGTGATTCATCATACACTACAAGTGTCAAAATTTGTGTACGGCGCTCACTTTAGTGCCAAAAGTTTCTTTTGGATCACTTTAGTGCCAAATTTTTTGAAAAACGATCACTTAAGTGTCAACTCCGGTCAGTTTGGCCGGAAATCCGACGTGGCATTTTTTTATTAATTTTTGAAGCCGATGTGGCTCGCCGGAGGTTGAGTCAGCATGCTCAGTCAGCATGGACACATCAAAACGACGTAGTTTAGCATGTACACTTGGATTTTTTAAATATTTTTTTTGAATTTTTTTTCTTTCTTTTCTTTTTTCTTTTTCTTTCTTCTACCTTGGGTCACCGCCGGTGACCGGCCACCGGCCACGGCCGGCCGCCTGGCCTCAGCAACGGCGAGGCTGACGTCGCCGTCGCTGGGTTTGGCGACGGCGAGGTCGGCCTCGCCATGGCCGGGCGAGGCCAGCCTCAACCCAGCGACGGCGAGGCCGGCCTCGCCACGGCCGGCGAGGCTCGACCTCGCCGGATCGGGGTGAGGTCGAGCCTCGCCCGACCATGGCGAGGCCTACCTCGCCGCTGCCAAACCCGGCCGACGGCGAGGCCGGTCTCGCCACGGCCGGGCGAGGCTCGACCTCGCCCAGATCCGGCGAGGTCGAGCCTCGCCGCCCATGGCGAGATCGGGCCTCGCCGTCGCCAAACCCACGACGGTGAGGCCGGTCTCGCCATGGCCGGGCGAGGCTCGACCTCGCCGGATCCGGCGAGGTCGAGCCTCGCCCGGCCATGGCGAGGCCGACCTCGCCGTCGCCAAACCCGGCCGACGGCGAGGCCGGCCTCATCGTCGCCGGGTTGAGGCGGCCTTGCCACGGCCGGCGAGGCTCAACCTTGCCGGGATGCGGGCGAGGTCGAGCCTCGCCCGGCCGTGGCGAGGCCGACCTCGCCGTCGCCAAACCCGGCGGCGGCGAGCGGCCTCGCCACGGCCGGCGAGGTTCGACCTCGCCGGATTTGGGCGAGGTCGAGCCTCGCCCGGCCGTGGCGAGGACGGTCTCGCCGTCGGCGGGTTGAGGCCGGCCTCGCCGTCACCGGGTTGAGGCCGGCCTCGCCACGGCCGGCGAGGCTCGACCTCGCCGGATTTGGGCGAGGTCGAGCCTCGCTCGGCCGTGGCGAGACCCGGCCTCGCCGTCGCCGGGTTTGGCGACGGCGAGGTCGGCCTCGCCACGGCCGGCGAGGCTCGACCTCGCCGGGGCCGGTCTCACTGTCGCCAAACCCGGCCGACGGCGAGGCCGGCCTCGCCACGGCCGGCGAGGCTCGACCTCGCCGGATCTGGGCGAGGTCGAGCCTCGCCTGGTCGTGGCGAGGCCGACCTCGCCGTCGCTGAGGCCAAGCGGCCGGCCGCCGGTCACCGGCGGTGACCCAAGGTAAAAGAAGAAGAAGAAAGAAAAAGAAAAAAGAAAAGAAGGAAAAAAATTTCAGAAAAAATATTTAAAAAATCGAATTATACACGTGGAAATGCCACGTAGACCGATTTTTTTAAAAAAATTCCAACTCGGTTTAAAATTTTAATTATAAAAGCCACGTATTAATTTGGCCGGAATTTCTCGCCGTTGGCACTTAAGTGATCGTTTTTCTTCCGATTTGGCACTTAAGGGTGCGTATGGTAACACTTCTATTTCTGGGAACAATTTCTTTTTAGAAATAGTTTTTTCTATTTCTATTTCTTGGAAGAGTTTCTGAGCAAAATAAGGCGTTTGGTAACTGCACAAAATTTCTATTTCTAGAACAGAAATGCGTTTGGTAACTGCACAAAATTTCTATTCCTGGAATAGAAAAAGAACAGAAATGCGTTTGGTACAATCAAAAAAATTTCTATTTCTAATTTTTTTCATTCAAGTTTATATCTTTTATTTAAGTGTAAGAACAAGTTATAAATGAAAAAAACCAAGAAGCATTGTTTATTGGTTTGTCTAATCCTTTTTAACTCACACTACTTTTTACACCATAATTAATTATTGTAATCAACCAATTATTCTGAATACCATATTTATCTATTTCAAAAGTTTCTTCACAACCGCTATTACAAATACTATTTATTCTCATATTAAATTACCAAAAGATAAAAAAGAATACTTACATCTTAACCATGTGTTAGTTGTTTTTATTACCAATAAATAAACAAAACAAGAACTCATCCTACGAATGTGAAGAACTCTCTAGGTCAACATTGACAGTGCTATAATTTACAACAGCTGACGTCACTAATTTTTGTCACTTAAGAGGATTATACATTTCTTTCTCTTTATGAACTCTTTCCTATGATGCATAGAATTCTTTGCCACTATATATATAAACTCCATATACGCATTATAATAACACGTGGATGATGCCGATTTTAGTAGGCGCTTGAATACGATCCATTCGCTTTATTAATCACTTAAATAGTCACAGTAACTTTGAAAATTGATTTATATAGACATGAATCCTTCATTTTCTTATAATGATTAAGTTTACAAAATCAATTTAAATTTGATTGTGACTTATATATATAAATATTTACATCTTGTTTTCATCCAATAAAGTTGAACATGTAGGTGGAGGAGTAGTCTTCATTTGCAGCAAGAAAAATGTAGTTGAATGCCAACACTCCAATGAGATTCTCTATACTCCTAGTACTAAAATATCCCATCAACTCATGCTTTGCCAAATATTCAAAGCTTGCCAAACCTCTGTTTGAAATGCTGCACAGGCTTTGGATTTCAAAAATACAACAATAATAATACCTGCTAATTAACAAAATATTGCCAAATATTTATGAACAATATAACAGAAGTCAGAAACATAAAGTCATGGAATCTCAGGCATATTGTGATTCCTTGCCATTTGATTTGCAATATTTTTCCTAAGCTATAGTTTTCCAGCAAGAGGATCTAGTTGCTCTTGCTTCTCCACTTCAACTGTTTTCCCCTTCTTATCAGCTACTTTTGCCACAAACTTCTTTAGCTGCAGGTGCCTGAGCTCAACAGGCAGCAAGTACCAATTTAATCAATGCAAAGTTAATCTGAGGAGTTGAACAGAACAAGCATCACAAACAAATTTGTCCTCTATAACCCTTCGTCTTTGTTCTATTTTCCTCCAAAAACCACACAAGAAAAGACTAATAGACACAAGAAATATCATGCTTCACAGGGAGAATCCAATCAAACAAACCAAGTGCAATTGAGACAAGGAATAATGTAGCGTCCATACACAAGAAATATCATTCTTTTTTTTTTTTTTTCAGTTTTAGTTAATCAAAATGAAAGATCACCAACAACAACATAATCACATCCCAAACCCACCCACAAGAAAATGCTCAACAAGAGAAGCATATATATTGTGCTTCTTATCTCATTCAAATCATTCCCCTGGAAACTTACTAATTGACATTCAGATGAGATGGACATACATTTCAAGATTAACAGGCAGCAACCTTAAGGAAAACAATAAATAGCTATTTAACGTTTTGCCTGGAGCAATAAGAAGCACAGTGGCTCATAATATTTGGACGGAGGGATGGAGGGAAATGAAGGGAGGCCAGACAACAAAGGGAAAGTTAACACAACAGAATACCTTGATTAGCATCTGGAAGTCTTCCTTCGTTTGTAGAAACTTTTGAATCCTACAGATAGAAAAAAACTTAGTGAATAAGGCACTCGTAAGAATTATCTTGCTCACATATAGCTAAAACATAGTACCTTTCTTCCGGGAACAATGTCGACAGTGAGACCTCCAGTGACTTCTACTGCAACAACTCCTGCTAGCTGAAATAGGCATTTCGCTCATAATGATCAATACTTGCAAATTGATAAATCATTTTTAATAGTAACCACTAGAATCGATCAGCTATATATAACATCATCCAACCACTAATCAACCAAGAACAATACCAGTTGACCTAGACAGAGGAGATTTCCTACAAGCAACTGAGAACTAAATGCCCAGGGGATTGAAAACAAGATAGATAAAGATTTGCTCTTAAAGCATCTGAATATGGAGAATATGTGGGTTATGCCAATTAAGGGCTTCCATACGTGCATGCACATTAGTTTTAAAGATGTTGCATGCTGGAAGGAATAAAACTTCAAAGTTAAATGGCAAGAATTCGAAGTCTTTTTCAAACTAAGCTAGTCATATCAACAGAGATTTCGTCCACCTATTGGGAGAGGCGACTCATAATATGTAAGATGGAAGAACAAATCCTTTAAACAGTCTTTTCACCTGGTATAGATCTACGTATGTAATCTTTGGACACTTGGACTTCACCTCCTCTGTATCCAACAGAAAAGCAAATGTAAATATACTGACTGAAGTTATATCTCAACTCCATTCACAAAAAAACTTGATTCATCAAAGCTATGACATTATCCATGATGGGTTCGTACAGTTGTATAATTGAAACTCTTATAATCATAACATATCTACGGGGTAACTCATGTAAAACATATGCAAAGGTCTTAGAATTTCCTTGGTCGACAATCATGGAAGCATTAGACTGAATACTAAACCACCCATCTTAAGCATGCTCTCATAAACTGAACATAAGATAATACATATACCTCAACTTTATGAAGACTGTAGGGATTTCTTTAAAGAAAGTATCAATGTCTAAAGCAACAATTATCTTCATGCATTCTATATTGATGAATATTGGAAATATATCTAAATTTGCTTAGATGAACCTAACACTATGCTACAGGCAAGTAACAAAAGTAAATCAGAGTACGCAGATTAAATCCCGTTGATAAGTCCAGAGTATAACGTTAAGCCAACTAAAATTGCAAACGCACTGCTTGGCCTTCAAGAACTTGTAAGTACATAGCATCATGTTAACAAACTTGTTAACTGTCTTCGACATAACAGACGACGCGCCCCGCACGTGTGCACTAAACATCGTAAGATGATTAAGTCAACCATTACTCATCAAATGACACAAAACATAAGCAAAAGCAACTCCTCCCATAGCAGCAAATGAAGGAAAGCTATAATTGAAGTATTAAAAGACATACGTCCATGGAAATTGGACTCTCAAATCTCCATGCACCTACATATATTTAGTATCAAACGAGCATGCAACGGGACTCGCACAATCGCAACCTACAATTGCATGCTCGTCCTCCAAACTGCCGTCGATGCATGAATAGATGAACTCCAGAAACTACTTCAGGCACGGATGTCGAAGAGGCGTAGACACCGCTCTGCCAAAGGAATCAACACCGCGAAGGCAGAGAAACCTAAAGGTAGGTAGCTCAGAAAGAGCAGGGAGCGCTCACCACAGAAATCAAGAGCGATCTTCAAGCCATCATGGGCACCGTGGGAGTACTCTTCCTTGTTCCGAATCGAGCCGTTCGGATCGGCGGTCTTCGTCCTCGCGTCGTAAGTCCCGGCGTCGTTCTACCTGCAAAGACGAATCGCCAGAAACCGCCAGACATCAGAAACCGCGGGGGCTAAATCCGATCGACGGACGTCCATCGCCGGCCAATCGAGGAGGGGATGGAACCGTAATGCGCGTAATCGGGAGCTCGAGACCCTCGAACCGGGAACGAACGCCGCGCCGGCCCTCGAGGAGCGAGAAGGAAGGTCGGAATTGCACCTCTACCGCGAGTAATAGGGGTGGTGGCCGGTGCTCTGCAGACGACGGATGATGGAGGAGCCGAAGAAGCCGCTGCTCGAAAGGAAGAAGAGGTAAGAAATAAAAATTTTAGGGTTTACATAACCCTTTTTACCTTTCTATTTCTATTTCTATTTCTGAGAACAAAGAAGTAGATATTTTCTACTTCTTATTTCTGCTTCAAATCTATTTCTTGGCCACCTTTTTATTTCTGGGAATAGAAAATTAAAATGCGTTACCAAACAGGTTTCTATTCTTTTTTTGTTCCAGAGAACAGAAAAACAGAAAAATAGAGAAATAGAAGTGTTACCAAACGCGTCCTAAGCGAGCCGGCGAAAACTTTTGGCACTAAAGTGAGCGTCGTACACAAGTTTTGGCACTTTTATTTTATACCTTTGCAGTAACTATACTTGTCATTCTGAAAATGAGATTAAATTGTTTTGGGATCGAAGTAGTAAGATCACGTTGCTGAATACTTGGCTCTTAATTCTCCAAGGCTCTGAAAATCTCCGACTAGTAGTATAGCCTACCCTTTCAGACGGTAAATTGAATTTGTAACTGTAGAGGATCAACGATCCTAATGTCTTCCGACGGAACAAGCTAGAGAGCAACATCACGGCACCAAATTAATAAGAACTCTGTTTTTATGCTTGACTGTAAAAACTGGTTAATGCGATCTGTGAGTGTGTGATTCACATGCAGATTCAAGTCCGACAGCGTCAATGCCGATAGAATGCTCACCTTCCGGCGGAACTCCATATCCAAAGGTTTCCTTAGCACCCAAAAAGAAAAGAAGAAGGATTTGTGTTTTATTTAGGACCTTCACCTCATAATCAGGTGTTTGCTAAACAAACTAGTGAAGTTCCATAACCGCATGTGCAGCCTCCTAAAAAGAGTTCTCAGTCAGCAGGGCTTACCTTACTTTAAGAGCTTCGGCGCTTTTCATACAAAATCCTTTTCTCTACGACAAAGGTCCTACTCCACTCCTAAATCCTAGCTCACTCTATGTGACTCACTATGCGAGAACAGCATATTAAGTTCGTAGGAACAAATCTTCCTCATCTAGGGAACGGTCTCCTTGTCATAACCCGGTCATACCGTCTGATATAACTCACTACCAGGAAACTTGTTCCCTATGGAGAATGGCTGGTCAGTTCTACCATGCGACGGGACCATATGATCTATTTAATAAACTTCCCTAGGTCACTTGGCTGGTCAAGCTAACAGTAACAGGTCTTTTGAATGAAGAATGAGAAGTGCAGGTGATAAGATTTTGCATGTGAGTGGGGACTGTTTGCCAGCTTCACACTGCGAAAGAAGAAAAAAGCAAATTCAATTTGCTTGAGTTTAATGCATGTGAAGCAACAATTGAACAACAATTGCACAGAAAGTTGAAGGGGTGCATGTCAATTATACTTGCCCAATTTCAAGAAAGACAAATGCTAAGATTCCTCTTTTCCTTGTCTGTACACCGTTCTAGAGACTTCCCCTCCTCACTAAAATGGTAATCATTGTGCACTTTCACTGTCAAAGTGAAGCACAGACGGCTCGTTGAGAGATGGAAGTGAGTTAATAAACAGACAACAACCCATGAAACAAAGAGGCACTAGTCACTTTACTTGCATAGAACTTTGTTCCTTTTTATCATTTGAAACTGTGAGGAAGTCCAAAAGAAAAGAGAACGACTTGACTAGGTTTTAAGTTTTTGGGGCTGTCGCACTAGTACAGTCAGGTGTTAATTCTTAGGCAAGATCACTGAGACATCCTGAAATAATGCTTAAGCTTTTGTTCAGGAAGAGCTTATTCCATAAAGCTAGTCTTCGACCTCTTTTTGGCATAATAAAATGATTGTCTACTATTATGATAATGCCCTCAACTAGAAACTTAAAAAAGCCTTGTAATAAGCACCATATATCATGGAAGAAAAAAAGAAGATAGGACTTCAGAGCCCTTCAACACATCTATAAATCCTCCTGGAAATTGCAATATCTCCAATCACAAGCTCAACACATCTATTAATCCTTCTGGATATTGCAATATTTCCAATCACAAGCATTGCTATCTCTCTCTCTCTCTCTCTCTCTCTCTCTCTCTCTCTCATGGCAACGATAGATCATCTCCTCAATCTTTCTGAGCAGATTTGCTATGTCCAGTGTGGTTTCTGCACCACCATTTTACTGGTAATTGTAGTTAGAAATGCAATGGCATAGATAGTTACACTACAGTTGTTCATTTCTGTTTCACTATGTATTATGTCATGCATACAGGTAAGTGTTCCATGCAGCAGTTTGTCCATGGTGGTCACAGTGAGGTGTGGTCATTGCACAAGCCTCCTCTCTGTCAACATGATGAAAGCCTCCTTCGTTCCTCTCCATCTTCTAGCTTCTCTTAGCCACGACGGGGTACTTATAACTCTTTGTGACAGAAACAAAATGCTTCATTTAGTTTTCTTGAATGTGCTATTGTGGCCTTCACCAGTAAATTGTACTTCACATCCTCATGATAATGCTGCTTTTTTTTGTACATAAAGTCTTTAAGAGCCTAGTCATGTGTATTATACTTGACTATTTTTTAGCATATACACAATTGAAGATCCAAATTGTGTGGAAGCTCCTTACAAATTCTACTTTTATCATCTTTCTCCCCATGAATGAATTGAAGATGTAACAATTGTGTCCCATCACTGTCCCTGTAGTTCATTCTTGACTTAGTCGATTCTCATTTTGTTAATCCTAATCAATATTTACTTCCTGGACTAGCCAAAAGAAGAGTTTCAAGAAATGGAAGTCCAGAAAAATGTGGAACTGTACAGCCCTTCTTTCGTGAATTCTTCTGACATTGAAGATGAGCAGACCATTTCCATAACTCGCGTTGTTAACAAACGTAAGGACCTTCCTCGTTTAAGTCAAGTTCATGCAATTGACATGCTAATGTCTGGTTGATTTCTCTGTAGATCAGAGGCACTAACAATATTGTTGAATTTTATTTAGCACCAGAGAAGAGACAAAGGGCTCCATCTGCTTATAACTGCTTCATTAAGTAAGCCGAGTGTTTATCTGTTAAACCTGTGGGCTATTACTAGATTTGAGAAAATCTAAAGTGAATATGTGTCGCAGAGAAGAGATCAGGAGGCTCAAGGCGCAAAATCCAAACATTCCTCACAAAGAAGCCTTCAGTCAAGCTGCCAAGAATGTAACTTCTATTTCGAATCGTTGAATTCATCTATAATTTACACTTTGTAATATCCTCCAACTTAACAAAATTTTGGTGAAAATCAACATGTTGCTCCAAGCCAAAGTTATGTGCGCTGCACCTAATCAACTGAATTCATGAGTTACGTTTCCCATTTTCAGTGGGCACAATTTCCGCAACATCAATTTAAAGGGGATAACGGAGAGAGCTTTGTCCAGGAAGTGGAGAGGGAGAAATGGATCTCTGATGATTCAACTGAGGTACTAAATTTATTAGCAGAAAACTGTGATATAGCTCAGTGCTTAGTAAGAGCAATGCGCATGTTTGCTAAATAGTTGCGATTTAATATCATTGGCAAATTGATTCAGTGATGCAATGCAAGTATAACATCCTAATTATTAACATCGTAACCACGATGGAGTAATTTTATTCTGTATCTTATCTTATATTAGATAACGTTACTATCAACACTGGGAAACCTTAATGGGTATAAGAGTTGATATAAATTCCAGAACTTCACGTAGTCCTGAAAAATTGCGGTAGAGGAAATTCCGTCGACGTCCAAATTCCAACTGCTTGGACTTGTGAGCTTAATTTTCATAAGTTTTCATTTGCACACCACCTTTAATGATGCAAACTATGTTCCTACATAAGCATGTATTGCCACCCACCCGTTCATGTGCTCACTTAGATACATACGTTCCATTATGGTCGAGCAGTTTGTGGGTTTTCCCTTGGTATCTATAATAAGGCTTCTCATTATCACCCGACAATGTAGTAGGTCCTTGAGGCTTTTTTGAAGTTACTTCATCTAATCGAGCATATGCTTATTTAGGATGTTCTTGAAATGGATCCTTAGGGAACAAGACATGGATGTCCTTAGAAGCTTCGCAAGTACTAAACTTTGACGGAACTCTCATCCAAATAATCACAATCTAAAATGATCATAATCAAATAGGGTCTTGTTAAGTATATACTTTATGTAGAATATTTAATTTTCATGACCCTGATTGTGCGTAACACGAGGGCAATTAGTGCATTGAAAACTATAAAGTTTCCTTAATTGGTTGCTTAACAATGGCTCATGGAGCGCTCATTAAAAAAATACAATAAAATGTTAGCACTATTTCTTTTATGGACAAGCTGGCAACTAGTTTGTTTCAAAAGCATCTTAAATCTTAAAGAATTACAGAAGTCTAAGTTCCTTCAACAAGCATGCACTAACAACTGAGAGACTTGTAATTACCCATGAAAGTGTTGGATTCCAAGAAGTTATAACACACAAATGGACTTAACGGTTGAGTCTCAACCTTAAAAAGGATAGCCACTGGTCATCCAAAAGGGGTTCAAGAAAAGGAAACCATTAATCTCATTCAATATAAAGACATTGTCATTTTCTGGAAGTTGAAGCATTAGTTGTGAAATTTATGAGTTACCCATGAAAGCATATCTGAAAACACTGTAAAGATCCAAACTACTTTGCTCAGCTCATAAGTTGGAAATGACCAAAAATGGATGCATGATTTTGTGTCTTGGAAAAACTTTTGCAGGTGAACGGAGAAGGCAAAGGGTTCCGTGAAAGAAAGGTGGCCCGGCATTTTACATGGGAAAAGACGCCCTTTGATTATTGAACTGAGAGAGAGTTTGCTTCTTCAAGAAACTTTCTCTTTCAGTACTGTTGAAACTCTCTCATTAAGTGCATCATTATGACTTCAACTGGTTAGATGCTCTCTTGGAAATGAGGTTCCACCGCAAGTGCTCTCTCTCTCTCTCTCCCTCTCACTGATGAACTCAAGTTGAGCTCTAGACTTCTGTGACTGACTGAGTTGTTCAGTATATCTTGCTTTCTTGTCCTAATGCAACTACTTGTTATCTTCATTTTGTGCTAAAAAACATGAAGTGATTTCCATAGGTATGTCCATTACATTCATCTTTCTTTTCCCCTTTTATCTTTTGGTAGAGATACCAATAGTAGCTTATGGACAAAAGTTAAGAAATTGATGTAGCAAACTCTTTGGTTACGATGATGGTTCACCTGTTCAAGCTAAGACGTTTCACAGTTTGCCATATTACTTTGCGAACCAATTTATTTATTCAAACTTAAAATTCTTAGCTTACTACTTCTCTTTTGGGTGAGGGTACATAAATGACTTGTCCTCATGGACTGCTTCTGGCATGGATGTCCGCAAAAGGATTGCGAGAGCAATCTTGCTCCATGCATAATAAGATGCTGAAATTACTATAATAACTAATTCCATAGCTGGCGTCTGATCATCATAAGAAAAGTGACAAAATGAAATCAACTTAATAAAAACCCTAAAAAATCGATGCTATGATCGACCCCAACCATAACTTCTCCTACAGAACTTTGTTGCTTTCCCGTCTTTCCGTTGTCTCTTCCTCGCCAACCATGGCAATGTCCGAAAACATGGACCTGAATTAGGATGCAACATGATTGTTTATTAGTATATGTAAGATGTAAAACCGACACCTTTATACCCAAGAAAAGAACCTGGATGCATAAGAATATAAAATTAGAGAGCTTCATTTTCTTTGTTCACCTCGTGGACATCAATGCAACCTTAGATCATCAGCATGCAATTTCAGATATAAATGCCCATATACATATGGATTCGACAAACTTACTTGCGTTGTATGGGCTATGACCATGAGCAGTAGCACTGAAATATGCTTGAAAAAAGTCCCTATTCTCCTTTAGAAGTTGTCTCCAAACTGCAAGAGAGAAAAACCATCATTTGAAAAGAATGATTATGATATGTACGTATGCTACGCAAGAAAAGATGAAGGATGTTAACCATATGCGTGTTCAGGCGTCGGGGATTGCTTGTAAATTTGTGTTAGATGCAAAATATTAACACAACCAAAGAAAAATGAGCTAAGGAAAGCCCATTAAACTACTTAAAACCTTAGTTTAGGAGATATGTAGCTAAAAGAGGAAGCCAAGAATTTAAGTAAAAGAAACCAGTCCATCAGTGATGTCGACGACTGGGTCTTTCACATAATTGTAAGTTTCTCTAATAGTTTTAAGTTCTTAACAAGAGAGACCTGTGAACGTGACGAATTCCAGCATGGTGGGACAAAGCCTTGATGCATTGATCTCGGGTCATGCGCAGTAACAACCATCTCTCTATAAGATGCTGTACCTGTTTTCTCCAACAACATAAGCATTTTTGGGAGAGAGAGAAGGGGGGGGGGGGGGTGGTGGGTGGGGTGCGAGGAGAGAGAGAGAGGTGCATCCGAGGCGAATGTAGGAACGTGGGTGGCAATGCAAACAAGGAAGGTGGTCAGGCTGATGATACATGGCGTATAGGAATGTGAAAGTGGACAAAAAGAAACCTAAGTCAAGAACTATTGAGCAGAGACAAGAAAACAGATTGCAACAAGATATTTGGAAGGGAACGAGGGAGTATATAGCTGGAGAGAGAGAGAGAGAGAGAGAGAGAGAGAGAGAGAGAGAGATGAAACGTGAGAATGAGTAGTGATAAGAAATCCGAAGGAGATAAGAGACAAGATTTTGTCTTTTGGCTCTGAAGAGAGGGTGAGAGAGAAAAAGGAAGGAAAATAAAATTGGGTTTTGAAGATTGGATAGGATGCAAGGCAATCCTTCAGGGGGTTCATCATCACCTGTGCAATCTCCCCTTTATTTCCATCCATCAATTCTCAGGCCCCACTGTCGTCTTCAAGTGAGTTAATGTGATCATCATTTCGAGAGATCTTCGTTTCTTCCAATAGTTTGAATTAAGCCTAGCAAATTTCTCTACCTGACGTGGTCCAAAATGTGTGCATTCTCCATTGTCTTAAAATTCTTTTTTTTCAAAGAACCATTGAATTTTCCAGCATATAATTCACATCGTTCTTCAATAACTTAAATTTTTAGAACAAGCGGTTGCTATACAATTCATTTGGTATCTTCGCATGGTCTCCTCAGTGAGCTTCTGCTACAAACTTTAATGCTCCAAGCCACAAAATAAAATGGGAAAGCTTTGTTAATTGAATAATCGTACGTGGTCTTGTCTCCAACCATAGAAATGGCCAAAAAGAACACTGAATCGGCAGAATATGATTGGTGACATTGGCTCGACCCAACTTGACCGAGTAATCGTGATTGCCGGCAATACTTGTCTGAACCCATGTCATTTTTCCTTCATAATTTGATACCTGTCTGGAATCAAACTTGAACTTTGAGAAAACAAATCTCCATGAGCACGCTCTTTCATGGAAGGAGAACATGATCGTAACATCAGCATCACGATTTCAGATAACTAACCAAAGTTTCAACCAATATCGGCACTTTGTTGCCGAGTAATAAAGAGGTGCCCCGTCCTCTTTTAATCGAGTCAGCTGACATATATGTTAGGTTAGAGGCATCAAGACTGAGAATAACGGTTGAAAAGAGTTCTGCTCAACCTCTTTAAGGCTTTACATTTCAGAGAACACGAAACCATGCTCTTCTCTATGTTCTTCAATTCAATGTCCACCTCGCAGAATTAGGTCTGGATGGATCTCCATCTTCGGTCGCCGATCATATTAGATTTCCAAGAAAACAGCTAGTGATACCGCGAGAGTTTAACGGTTGGACCCAGGATAAGCAAATGATGCAATAAGAAAGGACAGACAAGTGAAGCAGTGGTGCCCAGGAATGATCATCTTCGTCTGCGACGAGCTCGCTCAAGCGGTCTTCTTCACACACCCGTGAAGAGTGTCCTCCTGTTATTCACCCGACCTCGCTCAAGTTGCCCACTGCCCAGCGAGCGCAACCGCAAGATGAATTACCGGGTTCTAAGAAAGGCCAAAGGCCAGAACCCCATTGAATGAATCGTAGTTCAGGCCCACGAAACATGTGCAGTGGGTTTCGTGGTTCTTTGCATTCTTCTCGGAGAAAGAGAGAGAGAGAGAGAGAGAGAGAGAGAGACGATAACATTTATGCCCTTGTATCGAAATTGAAGCATGGGTTGCGGATGTTATCGATTTTTTTTATCTCACTCATCTCTTTTATATACGTGTGTGGGGTGTTCACGGTGATTAGCAGAACAATGATGAAAGGAAGAGAAAACAAAACTCCAACTTACTCTTACACTCAATGCCCTCTTTGATCATAACTCAAAAAGCTTCACAAGGAGTCTTATATTCATTTCCGAGTGATGTAGTCGGAAATCTCTCGTTACTAGATTGCGACGAGGTGATTTCCGAGTGTGTTACATTATTTTTTTTCGGATTTGGCATCGCGCAAATTAAACATGATTTAACAAAAATACTCAGAAACTTTCGAATCTCTTATGATCAGCCTCAACGGATGTGAAGATGAACAGCATCAAAGTTAAAGGAAGAGGCAAAAAAAGATTGGGGGTTCTTTCTTATTGGAATAACTAATGAGGCCTCCTCCCTCCTTCAAGGCCTCAGCTGTCAAATTGGGTTTCAAAGTTCACCCTAAATTCAAGACTCGATCGAGCCTTGAGCGTTCTCTCTTCTTTGTACTTCAATTTTTCTTTCTATGCAATATATATTTTAACCTCTGGCACCGCCACAGGACTGCACAGTCGGGCTCGTCAACTTTTAACGTTCGGGTTTTGAGTGGATGGAAGTAGTTTTGACATAAATCAAACATTTCGTAATGGGCGTGGATCTTTATAGTAATTTCATAGGAGTAGCAATGCGAGTCTCCCAATTTCACCGTATTGTCGACAAAAAAAAGTTAAGAATCCGACTACACGATTCCTAAAAAGAAACATAATGAAATGAAAATGAAATAAAAAGAAAAAGAAAGTGAATGGAAGCTAGTGATTATTCCTATCTCTCTATTTCCTCATAAAGGACAAACAAAAGGTATTTAATTATAGGTAAACACCCCCTGTCCAAAACCTGAATAGCAAATTTTGGCTTAGCATTTCACACTCATCTTTAGTATTAATCATTGAAATGACCCTTAGCCAACTAGGCTCCAGGTGGTTGATTAGTCTTTCAAGATCTCAAGCAAATGAATGATTCCATATCCCAAATCCAGCCATTTGCACTTCCATTTCTAGCGGCCCATCCATTTTCCGCTTGCACTAATCGCCAATTATTGCGATTATCTAGCATAAAACAAAGACAACATGACCATTGTCCGCGAACACCCGGTTGCGATTAATTTAAGGATCTCGTATTTTCCTAATGCCATGATGCATAATGAGGCCAAAGTATGCTTGACGCTACGGCTGTGTTTCTGATGCGTGATGTGTCTTCGCGGTAAAGTTTAGGAAATGGGACAACAGGGGGACACGCTCAATAGATTCATGGACAGAGCATATATCTGCCCCACTGAAAGTCCATCAAATTAACCGACACCGTAATACCTAATCAGCCCCACTGAATGAATAAACTAATGAAAAGTAGCACAAAAGTTACACCAAAACACTGACTGGTTTCACTTTTTATATGGCATTTTTTCATGGGAGTTCCTCTCCATGCAAGGTGACAGATGCATATGTACTTCGGAGTTGGAGATTCCACTGAAGTCTGTGACATTCCGAATTTCGGCCCATAGTTGGGATTTATAAAACGTGTAATTCGTCAGTGTGCTTATAGTAAAATCTCGCCCGGGAACTGATCACTCTCGGTTATTGTTTTAAAATTGAGATTTCGCTAGAATCGCGCTCGATCGAATTTGGCCGTTATTTAGACCCCGAACTTGACAGTCGATTTTCGGGAGTTTCAGGACGAAATAAATTGGACGGTGTCAATATTATCGTAGCCAGCGTTGAGATTGTCAGGAATAATGGAAAAAGAGGAGTTTTTGACCGGGTGCGAATTTGAACTAGTAGACCTCCCTCGATATAGTTTGATTTAATTAATTCGACCTTTGTCCCTTTTTATATGCGAGGCTTATTTTGGACCGGTAGATCGCTTTCGGTTTTGAATTTGGGTCATCGGATCGCATTTAATATTTGATTGAAGTTAATTTTTTTTATTATTTTTCTCTCTCCTCTCTCCTCTCTCCACCGCGCACGTTCTCTCTCTCTCTCTCTCTCTCTCTCTCTCTCTTTCTCTCTCTCTCTCTCTCCGGTCACCTTTTCCTCTTGCGCACGTTTTCCCCCCTTGTCAGACTCATCCACTCATCTCTTCCTCTCTCCTTCTTTCTCTTCTTCTTCCTTCTCTCTCCTTCTTCTTCCTTCTTCCTTCTTCCTTCGCCGACTGGTTCCGCTTCTGCTTCTGCTCGCCCGAACAGTCGCTCCGCCCTGCTGCTGCCGCTGCCGCTGGGCTGCCGCCTCGACCGAGCCGTGCCGCTGCTGCGCCCGCGACCGCCGCTGCTGGCCTTGTCCGCCTGTCGCCGGCCTCGGCCCACGCCGCACGCGAGCAAAGCCAGCCTTGCCGCCGCGTCCGCCGTGGTCCGGCGTTGCCGAGCCGTCCGCCGGCCTGTCCTCCGTCGCCCGGCCACCCGAGACGCCGCCGTGCCACCTCCGGCCGCCGCCCGACCTCCCCTTTCCCCCCTGTTTTCTTTCCCGGCGCCTTCCCCTGTTTCGAGCTCCCAGCTTCGCTGCCGCCGCGTGCCGCTGTTCCGGCCGCCGCCGCTGCTCCGTCCGCCACCACCTAGCCCCGGCGACCCTGCCCAGCCAGCCCGAGCGTGCCCCGGGCCGTGGCCAAGCCCGCGCCCTTGCTCGTACGGTTCAGCCGAGGGGGGGGGGGGCGTCACTGTTCATCCGGGCCCGTCACTGTTCATTCCGGGGGTACTGTTCATCCGGGCCCGTCACTGTTCATTCCGGGGGTACTGTTCATCCGGGGCCCATTACTGCTTCATTCCGAGTACGCTCATCCGGGCCACCATCGCTCATTCCGAACACCGCTCATCGCCCGCTATCGTTCATCCGGCCCGCTTTTGAGCCCGTGCGGGTTTTTCCCGAGCCAAATTGAAGTAAGTGACTTCCTAAACCCTACCTAGTACTTTGGGTATTTTATGACTTGTCTTGGGTTTAGAACGGTTAGAGCGTGATTTAATTTAATTATATTATGATATGATTGTGCTAA